GCCTGATTCATCGTCTGACCTGAAATTTTTTTCTTAGCGTTTTAACTTGCTACATACTTTCCCCCTTAATATTGTTTTAATCATGCAATGGTGCTTGTTTGATGTTGATATAACTTCTAAATCACTTTTTTCGAAATTGTTATCTGGCTTTCTAAACAAGAAATAGTGTTATTTTCACTACGCTTCTCGTCTTTCATATATCGCTCTCTGCTTAGTAAACTTATCTTATACATTTTAAGGTGAAATCCAAAACTTGCTCTACTTTATATTAATCATGTTCTTCCCTGTTATTTTGGCTTATCTCATATTCATACTTTACGAAATTTGCCACAGTATATGAAAAAAATAGACTGAATTATAAAGGCATGACTTGCCTTACGTTGTCTAAACTCGACTTTACTGAACATCTGGCTCTGGGCGCCTGGTCATTACGTCTTAATTGGTATAGAATGTCTATATGTATTGATCTAGTTTCACTTCATTTAAGTTATTTTTAATGTTTCTAGACTCACATTTTTGTATGAGGTTTGTGTCGGCATCTCTTATTTTTTCCGATTGTCTCAGTATGTTCTAAATCTATTTGAACATATAACTGTAGAATGAAGTTGCATTGATTCTATAATGATATCATGAAAATTTATTTATTTATTTTATAGTATTTAAGGTAAAGGATTGATTTTTTCCGTAATTTTCACTCTTACTTATTCGATTTATTCATCCCCTGTGATAGCTTGTGATTTCGATCTCTCGCTCTAATTACTTTCAAAATGGATTAGATTAGAAGATTTGTCTGCTTTTGAGCAATCACGCTTCAATCAGTCTGAAAAGTACTTGTTTGGGTTTAACAAAGAATCTTTAATAAACTGAGTTGGATATGGTTATATCTTTCAAGCTAAAGTTATTTAATCGGGAATAGCTTTCATTAAAACCGTTCGACATTGCAATTTAACTCTTCATCTTATTTTTTATCTACTTTATAAGACCTCATCATCAATGCTATGCATTTTCGCCTTGCTTGTATCTAGCTATGATTTTGGATACAATTCGTGCCGTTCAAGAAACAGTGGCTTACTTTAGCCAACGTGACCAGATTGTTGGCTATTTGCCAACAGGACAGATGCTACAGGTGGACAGCTGTTGTTCATCATCGTCATCGACTACTAGCAGTACCACAACCACTGCATCTTCCTCGGCTGGAAACTTGGGCAACCCAAGAAGCTCATCTGCCACCCGTCTGGTTATAAGACAAAATGCCGTTCTCGCAGTGGTCGGTCCTTTAAGTGTTCTTTTATCTGACGGACTTCTTCCTCCGGCCAGGCAGATATTCACAGGAAAGCCTCGTTCTCGACTATGGCAAATGGTTGAAGAAGGCTGTCGGTCAGGTATGGATTGTTACAGTAACGTACGATAGTTTTGAGATTTTTTGATTTAATGTGATGTGATTTGAGATGTATCGACTTTTGGGGACTT